TTTTATAAAAAAATATATTGTTGAAAGTCTGGACGAAAATAACCAAAAATTATTTGTTTATCATAGAAGTATTGAAACTTTCAAAATAAAGATACACCAGGAAAAATATATATTTGTCAAATACAAACACAAAATATTGCTTGTTTTAATGATTTTTTTTATTAGTTATAAAGGAAGCGAAGATTTTACAACTGAAACTTTCTTTGGTTATTTTTATATTTTTAGTATATCACGCAGGTTTCATAAAAGGGTATCGATTTGCGAACAATCCGGAAATACATTAAATGATCGATTGGCGTATGAGTATTATTAACATACGTTAGAAGAGAATATTTGATTATTATTATTTAATAATAATTAATTTTTATTGCAAAAATTTTAAATGATATGTAGATTTGATTTTAATTGAAATGTATGTATAAGGTTTTGTCTGAAATATACATTAAGGAAGCACATTAAAAAATTTTCTCTGAAACATCTGATAAATAAAAATATTAAAAATAAGTTACTCTTGTTTGGAATACAAAACCTCATACAAAACGAATGCAAAATCTCATACTTAAAATGCAAAGTAATGATTAAAATATAAAAATTAACAATAATTGAAATTTCCTCTATTGCTTAACATGAATCATTTTAGTAATATTAAATTTGACAAGCTTAAGTTTATATTTTCCTTCCTATAAATATTTTTTAAAGATGATTGAAAATAAAGAGACAAATTCATTTATGCTAAGGATAAAATAATAAATAAAACAGAAAAGAAAATCCCAGAAAAACTAACGGAATAATAAACATAAATAACATTTTATAAAATTCACATAAAATGTCAGTTCATAGATAAATACTCAATGCGTTCGCAGTATTCAAAATTTCATCATATTGATTTATTTAAAAAAGACGTTCTTTAAAATAGTAAGCGAAAACATCGATATCTTTAACAAAATATTACTTACTTCCAACTATGTCATAATTTGTTTAAAACCTTTTTTAACAGGTGAAAAATGCATGGATTTAAAAAAATTTCTCTTGGAAAAAATTAGACTGATTTAGCAATATTTTTTTACTGTAATGCTTATACTTAGTGTTTAAATAATTAAGGAAAAGTAATCGTTTAACTCCTCGTTTATTATTTTAAATTTGGGTTGAAAACTGAAAAGGCGCATTTTTTGCTGCATTCATTTTCATAAACACATATTTCAGGCAGTGTCCATTTTCAGATACTTGCATTTTGAGCTGTCTATTTTCGTAAATACGCATTTCGAGTGTTGGCCAGATTTAAAAACTCTCCGACGATTTTATACTGTTAAACCACTTCTAAATTCCAATAACTGTATTGTGTATTTATTCGTACATAAATAATAATCTTTTTAACACTTGTTTACTGACTCAAAATATAAAGAAGAATAGTATTATAAGAGAAAAGTGAAAAATATGAGAAGTTTCATATTAACTTCAAATTAATATTTTAATAATAAATCAAACATTTATAGTTCGAGCTCAATGGCCAGAATCAGCCAATCAGTCAGAATCAGTCCTGCTAAATTTTTAAAGCGAGTCAGCGTTTTAAAATTTAAATTTATATAACATTGCAGAAATGAAGTAAATCGCCGCTTAATGTTTTTTTATCTCCTTTTTTTGTATTGTTATCTTACAGGGACTCCTTTCCCAAGTGCTTCCAAAAAATACATCCTAAACGCATAAAAATTATTTTTTCGGTATAAATTATTATGCGTTCATTCCTTTTAAATATTTCCAATGAAAGCAGGTATTAACCGTTGAAAACACACACTATTCTTCATTTGCTACGTTAAGAAGAAAAATCAATGCTTCATTACTTCATTAAATTACTATAAACATTTTAGTAAATTATAAGAATATTTTTTTTCTTGGTATCGCATTTTATGTTTTAGCAGTTTTGGCATTTTGTATTGCTTCACTATATTTTAAGGAATTTGTTACATGTCCAAGTAAAATAAAAAGTTACAAAGCTGGGTTTTTTTTAAAGTTACTTTTGCTTACTTCTTTATACGCTTATTTATTTATTTTGGCATTTTCCATTGTGATTTTAAAGTTGACAGAATTTACGACTTTTTTAAATGTAATAAAAAGTTCTAAAACAGCATTTATTGTGGAAAGTTCAAAAGTTCTTAATATTTCATTTTATACATTTTAGTAATTTCTTAGAACCTCTCTTTTGATGTTTTCATAACTTTTTTGGGAATTTGTATAAATTTTTAAATATTACATTTCCGATCTTTTTAAATGAATCAAAAAGTTTTGAGACGGGTTTCTTTCTCTTTTATAATTTCTAGAAAGCTAATTTTATATATCAATAAATTTTTAGCATTCCGCTTTTTGTCTCTAAATTTTACAGAATTTTTAAAGTTTCCAAAAGAGTTTTTTTATTCTTTTTTAATTTTCCAAGCATATTTTATGATATTTGATGTACAAGTCTTCTTTGAAAACTATTGCTTGTAACATTTGTTTTTACCCTTCAATTTACTAATTTGTGCAAAATATTATTGATTTAAATTTGTAAGCTACATTGCATTATCATATCAAGTGCAAAGACCTCTCTTTCGAAAGTCAGATTAGTCTTTTGACTTAATACTATTTTGTCAATCTTATCTTCTATAAGTTATCGTTACTTTAGAATGTTCTTTGATTTCCTAGCATGGAGTAAAAAACAAAATTAAAAAACTTCTAAACATCTCACTACTTTCTAAGACATGTTATATACAAGCTCACACACAATATGAAAGCGTATCTGAAGATACCTAAATAAGTTATATGTTTGTTTTTTATGAAAACCATATGATTCACTTCGAAAATGTATAAAAAGGAAAACAATGTGTTCATAGACTTCATAGGTAATAAATTATAGGTTTATAAATTCCTTATTTATTTACACGCCAGAGATCTTATTTGAGATCTCGCCAGAGATCTTTATTAGAGACCTTATTTATTTATCACGCCAGAGGACGTCTTTATTTCATATTTTTAAAACTAAAACTCTTTGAAAAGAAATTTCTTGTGTTTTTTCCTCACAAAAACAGAACCTTAATTTCCGTCATTCATAAAACTATGATTAATTTTTTTACAATTTCACAAAAACGGAACTTTTTCAAGAAACCTAGAATAACTATTTCAAACTGATTCGCTTATTCAAAATATATACTAGTGAACTTAGTTACTTATCTGTTCTCTTTTTCCTCATTATAGTCATTTATTAACTTATTCATTCCTTATAGCAATAACTATCATCTTGCAAAAATAGCAAAAGATAAAATAAATAAAAAAGCGAAAGAGTGTAAAATAATAAATAACGTTTACCCAAGCAAACTACTTAAACGTAATTATATCATTAATTTTATTATTATTATTATGAGCACAATCTGTATAATTGAAGGAATTATTCAGAATACTAGTGACAAACCTTTCAAGTCCCCCATAAAAAGAAACCTTAAATAAATATTATCTGAATAAAAATCTTACCACAAAAAATGAGTTCTTCGCAATTTTAAATCCTTTGATGAAGATTCAGTAACTAACATCCCAGAATAGGAAATACTCTAAGTGCTGGAGGTTCTTCATTAATCTGAATTTTTATGATAACTTTACTTAAACGTTGAAAATTTTATCTATTTAAATATGCTTTTACGCTGTTAAAGGTAAAAAAAATGTTGATTCGTAATATGTAAAAAATAAATATTTAATTTATTTGCGGAAAATGGTATTATCAACTTACTTTGATTACTCTGAATAAACTTATTAACTACACACAAATTTATTCTCACTTATGAATCGTAAAAATGATCATAAATTAATTTAAACCTATAATCCAAAGATTGTTTACATTTTTTAGACGGGGGCCAACCTCAAACGGCGAAGTTTATTTAGGAATGGAATTCAAACTTTTTAAAAAAAAAAAGTATCAAGGTAGCATATGTTTTTAAGCAAGGGGGATTTTATTAGCCTAAAACTTCCTAAATATATTTGCTGTTTTTAATCTTCAGACTTTTTTTAATTACAAAAAACTTATCAATGATTTTTCTTTTTTGCATATAAGTTTTGAAGGTTTTCGTCTTTTTCTACTTTTTAAAAGTTAATTTTTTTTGAGAGAGGGTGACATTATTATTATTATGTGAACAATCTGTAATCGTACTAATTAATCTGAATATTGCGTAATTTTAGTTTAATTACGTAATTTTAGTCTTAATTTTTTAGAAAGTTTTAGTATTTGTCTTATCTATCGATTTGAGTAAAAGGTATAGCTATATTTTGACAGTGCTCAAATGCAATATAAAACATCAAAAAACATTATCATTTCTTTTTTTTTTTCTTTTTTTTTTTTAATATTGAAAATAGTGCGAGAAGCAGTTAAGAGTAGAAACAATTTTTGCAATAATTTCTTCTAACTCGATTTTTTTTAAATCGCGGATTTTAATTTTTTTGCTCATTTTCTAAATGTTAGTCTTTTGATAAAAAAGAAGAAAAAAATGCTAGTTATTTTTTTATGGTTAAAATGATTTAACAACACATAAATATTAACACAAAAATATTTAACAACGCATAAAAATTAAAATTTCATTTATCACAAATGTTAAAATGAAAATATATATATATATATTGTTAAATTATTCCAATCTTGTCAAGAATAATTTCTTTAAAAAAAAATTTTAAGTATATGCATTTTTTACCTGTTGAAAATGTTTTAAGCATGTAAAATCCATTTTTAATTTTTTTTTTAAAAATAAGAGATCATCGCGTAATTCAAAAGTTATTTTTTTATGTAAGTTTTTTTTTCAAGTCTATAAAATAATAACAACTGTGTAAAAAAGCATTTAAAATAAAATTTTAAAAATTATTATTTTAGCTAAGCTCATAAGAACATTGACATCCAACAAAAATAGCAGATCTCTTAATTCAATAAGTTATTTTTTCATTGTTCAAAAATTCGAAAGAATAAATAAATTAATTGACGGAGAGGCACTCACTCGCCGCGTGCGCCATCCACGAAATGTCCAGCAATCCAATGACAATAATAGCGGTCAAGATGCGATGACCATAACAAGTAGAGTGCCAACTCTTCTCCCTCATTGCAGGAATAGAAAGAAGAAAAACTGTAATCAGCTCATTTTCATCGCATCTTTCCAGAAGTCAGCATAGAACGGCATGTGTTTCAGAAACCATACATGCTCTCACTTTTACTAGAGAGACTCGTAGAAATTTTTGTTTTTATTTTTTCGCTTTTCTCTTTACGAAGAGGTTGCCGTAATTCTGCGAAATCGCATGCGGAATGAGTTTTTCTCTTGAATTCGCCAATGTGATGATCGTGTGTCGCCAAATGAGGCGGTGATAGCCTCTTTCATTATTTTGTTGTTATAAGAATCTTTTCTAAATTTTTTTTGTGTATGTTTTGAAGTGATTATTCCTTTTAATCCATGTAACAAGGCTTTATTTTATTTAAATATATACATTATCTGTAAAAACCATTTTGAATATTAGTTGCAGTAGTACTAACAATAACTTCTATACTGACAATAATTGTTTCGAGTTTTTAAATTGTAGATAATTGCTTGAAACTGAATTAGTACGATCACGAACTGCGGTATTATATAGAAGGCAATTTTGGGATTTTATTTTTATAAGAAAATTTCAATTGTAAATAATAGTCGTTAAAATATGACAACTGGCATCTTTTATAGATGTAATTAGATGTTTTACAGAATTCATCAATAGGACGCCTGAAACTAACATCGGATTATTTTATACAATCGAAATAACTATAAATAACTAAATCCCAATCATCTTTAGGTAAAATAACAAGCTTGAATTCTTCGAAAAAATTACTTTGAATTAATTAAAGATCATCGATCTTTTAACGAAACATCTCAGTGCATGTTTGGAATGATCAATACGATTTTAAATTGTTTATTCTTAACAGTCAATGTGCTTTTGAGTTATTAATTCTTAATGGTCAAAGATCAAGTACAATTTTACTTTGCAGTTTTTAGTTTTTTCAGAATTATTGAATATAGAAAACATATTAATAAATATTATAATTTATTTATAGTTTGCTTGATTTGATAGATGACTTTTGTAGTTGACAAAAGCAATCAAAAGTTTATTAAAATATGAGTTTTTCATCGATATTATTGCCTCTATAGTCAATATTTAGCGCCTTTTTTCGGTCATTCGCGAACGTTTTTTTGCTTCGATTCGATATTTTTATCATTGACCAAAAATAAAAAAATAAATAACTTTTTCTTCTTTTTATTTTACTTAATTAAATTTATTTCAATGCGTTCGAAATTAGTTTATCTAATTTTGCACACATTGAAATTGAATTTGAGTTCTTTTTTAATAAAATTAAGTTTTAATTAATGCTATTTGAAGCTTTGTAAAACTTGTACTTGTTATTAAGCATTCAAATGAAATTTTTCTATACATTTGTACAACAATTTACATATTTTTTGAATGCACTATAAATTCTAAAATAGCAATAGTTAATAAAACCAGTTAGTTATATTTATAATTGCAGGATAATATTTAATACTATTCTATTTCTATATAGCTATAATCATGATTAATTAATTGGAAGAATTGAAAAATTAAACATTAGAAAGTCTATTACTTTATTTATTTATTTTTTACTCACCCAAATTAAATTACAAATTTAACGAGTCAAATCTAATCACAGTATTTTTAAGCATTAAAAATATCAAAATAAAGCCTGAGTTAATTACATAATTTTATTTTGAAAATATAGCAATCTTGCCCCGCAGTGAACTGATGGTAAAGACACGGTTTCCAGCAGAACACCGAAGTCAAGCGTTCACTGGCTGTGGTCAGTGAGAGGGTGGGTGATCACTTCGATCGGCCTGCTTAAGGACCGAGGGTGCGCGGTATCAATCCTCGTTAAACTGTTCGATCGTAAGGTGCTAGACTTCACGCAGGTTATCAGGCTACCACAGCAGGGGAGCCATCCCCTCTGCAGAGGATCAAAATTGCGATTGCATGTCTTCGAATCATCCTCAGGGATGTTTCCCAGACCGTCGCCATAAAACTAAATCTATGAAAATGTCTAAATGTTGTCGATTTAGAAATATTATTTATTTCGTCTTTTCATTTCTGGCGCAAATGTCTTGCACTCCTAAATCGATTTTTTTTAACTATAGCCTTCAGTTTTCTGAGATCTCTGGCCAAAATTTTCGGTTTTCGGCCATCATTGAAATGATTATCATTAAACTATCCATTCTTCTAATACTGCTGTAAGATGCTGCAAACATCTGATAGCGAAGAATTTAAATATCTAGTATATATTGTTGATTTCTACCATGTCATTGTAAATAACTAATTTGTAGTTTAATTGGTTTTGAAATATCACGTAAACATTCTATTTTAAAACANTAAAAATAAAACTTTAAACATTCTAATATTCTGAGTTATTTCAATATTTTCATTCAGAATGATTTTATAAATAATGATTAAAGTGAAATTATATTAAAAAATACGGACGTAAAAAAATTTATATCTATAGGCAAATTCAAATGCCGCAATTCTTTTTTGAAACCTAATTACCTTATTGAAACTGCATTAAGTTCAAAATTACTTACCCTTCATTAAAAGATACCATCTATATAATTCTTCAATATCATGGTATCTTATCTTTCAAAGTATCTTCAAGGTATTTAATCGTTCAAACTCATAGTATTAAAAACTACAAAACTTATTTTTCTCCTGATCAATTAAATTTCCACCTAAAACTAAAAATAAAACAATGACCATGTTTTTGGAACCGTTAAGTAAAATCATTGCTCATAATAAAATTCCAAACGATCAACTTGCCAGCTGCCAGCATTTGAAAATTATATTACACAAACAAATGGTTGGGGGAAAAAATAACAAACGATAATTTTTAAATATGATATTATTTTGTCCCAGTTTTATGAGTTTTGGTTTGCAGACTTTTCCTTTGCTTGTTTAAAAAGTAGCTTAAATTAAAAATGATGCATCAACATTAATCATTTATAACTAAACAATACAGTAAATGCGAAATGTAACAGCAAGTATTTAAGCATTGTATATTTCGTATTATATTTCGCATTCATATTAATATTATATTTAAAAGTCGCCTTATATTGAAAAGTCGGTTTTGTTCATCTTTAGTAAATATAAAAATTGTACTTTTTTGTTAATGATCCATTTTATTTTTCATTTAAAATTTTACGCCTTTACATATGATAATATAAACGTCATATACTTTAAGAACAAAGAATTAAATAACATTAGAAATTATAAATTTTTTCCCCATATACATATCTTGTAGTTTCGTAAACATTGGCAACAAAAGGTAGCATAAAGTTTAACATTCAAAACATTGCAGCTGCGCTTAAAATAGTTTTAATTTGGAAAAAATATTCTTGAACAAGGGACACTTTTAATTACGCGTAATTAAGCACGTGTATTAATTTATATCGTAATAAAATTTAGAGAAAAAAGCCCTGGATTACCAGATGAAGTAGCTACTTTTTTCGTATCTAGTTTTCATCAACCCAAGAGTTGAAAAGTAAAGCCCTGGATACTTAGAATAAGTATGCCGTGCCGCCATTTTGGTGAATGCAACTCTCTTGTGACCGCAATCTTCAATGTAGAAATAATGAGTTTTTATTCTTATATGCGAATTTTTATTGATTAATATTTTCATATTCTTAAAGATAACTTAAATATTTACTATATTTTCTTTTAAACTTTAATTCTTCTTTTTCTTTCTGAAATTGTACAATTTATTTTTATTTCATTCAGGGTAAAGAATAGCATATCCATAAGTTAAATCTTTTTTATTTTCTCTTTCATAATATGCTATAATTTTTCTAAACTCTTTGAAATTTTTTGCAGTCTGTTTTTTTATGAGGTTCATAGGGTTAAATATAGTCAAATATAATTAAAATAATATCAGTTTTTTTAGATACTTTGAAATTAAGGTTTGTGATAAAGTCAATAATTAGTCCGATTTGTTCAAAAATTAATAAATATTTCTCTGAGAATTTTTATTCAAATTCAGAATATAAAATATAACAAATCTATTTTACATAAAATTTTGCTATAATGTATGAAATATTTAAAATAATAAAAATAAAGAAACTAAGAGTTCAAATAGGAATTATATCATATTATTAGAACGTCGAAATTTCAAAAATTTACTCATTTGAAAATTACTCGATATGCTAAGCTAGAGTTTACTTTTATTTCTATTAACAAAGCACTCAAATGTTTAAATGTTATTAAAATCTATTATTAAAGTTTTCTAACGAAACAATTATTTGAGTTAAAAATAATATTTGTAATCTACTTTCATTTTTTTCAGGTGAACATATTTAAAGCAATTGAATTTGTCAAATCTCTAATTGAAAAAAAAAAAGTTAAACATATTTGCTCTTCACAGTTAATAATTAATATCGTGACAAATGAATAAATAAATTAATTTCAGACTTACCGGACACAATCTGCTGTTTTCGTTTGGATGCCATTAATCTCTGTAAAATCTATGCAGGCATATTTTCTTTTGTTTTTTTATTGCGATCTTCAACAGGTAAACAATGTAATTTAAAGTCTAAATTTAACTTATTTGAACACCTAAGTGCGATATAAATATAAATTTGAATTGTCAATATAAATTTGAAAGTATGAAACAAAAAAAGGGAAAAGAAAATTGAAATAACAGATTGTGCGCAATGATACTTAACCATTTAAACTACAGCGACAGCCAATCAAAATCGAAGGAAAAAGAGAGACGCTACTTTATCTAGATAATCCAGGGCTTTATTGAAAAATAGTATCCAAACGGGTGAATTATAAACCACAAACTTTCTCTTTATTATAGATTTTTAGAAAATTTAAATTGTAATATATTTTATAATTAAAAAAAACAACATGCAAATTGAAAGCGCTAGATTTGACTTTCACAAATGCAAATTTTATGTTTTCCAATTTTTAAAAAATATAAATTTTAGTTATTATTCCAGATTTTTGAAGGAATTTTATATTGTAAAAATAATTCTTGAATTTTTTAAAAACAAAGAAGAAACGAACACAAGCAAATTGAAAGTACGATAGAATACTTGCAAGTGACGTCATCGCAGATATGTCGTGGCATTTGTCGATTCAGAAACATTCAAATTTGACACATACGCGTGACGTCGCTGACACGTATAAAATTAAATCTGATTTAAAA